TCTCTCTCTCTCTCTCTCTCTCTCTCTCTCTCTCTCTCTCTCTCTCTTTCTTTCTTTCTTCCCTGAGACAGGGTTTCTCTGTGTTTTGGTGCCTGTCCTGGATCTCACTCTTAGACCAGGCTGGCTTCAAACTGACATTTGGGTATTTTCATTGAATCTCACTTAAATAAGCCCTACTAAATTCCAGATCAGGTTAACAAGATTTCTCCAAGTGAGTAAAGTCATCATAAGAATGACACAGATTGTCACATCTTTTTATGGTCTATGTTTAGTCAAAGACCCTGCCAGAAGCACACATGAGCTTCAGGCTGCTTTAACAATTCCCACTTTCCACATCCTCTTATGGCTTTAGAACTAAGGCCAACAGGAGGAAGCTGGGATTCAAGTCAGGAGAACAGAACCCAAACTCCATCCTGACATATCTCCACTCAACCCACATCACTCTCTGTCCTACTTTTCACTTTCAGTCCTGGCCCCTCCTGTTTTCATTATTGGTGATGCTTCTACACAAGGACCACCCTCTACCCACCTATGAAACACACCCTTCCCTGAATCCTCATCTCATCTTTAATGAACTCTGTTCATATTTCTCCTTTCTGCATTGATGATAGCCACAGATAAGCTGCCATGGATTCTGTTCCCTCCTACTGAGCTAGACTTCAAGAGAATTTACCTCATGGAAAAACAACATGCTGTAGGTGGCACCAAAAGAAGTCTAAGGCATCTCCCAGATAATAAACTGCTCTCTGTGAATGAGATTAATTGTGAGAGACTTCCATTTCCCACATGTTGGTTTCCATCCTCACCCATCTGCAAGCTGTCACAGAGGGAGTTTCATTTGAAGGTGGGACTACGAATAGGAGGACGCAGGAAGACATTCATGGGATTGTGTGCGTTGGTTACTTTTTTGGTCACCTTGTTGACTGCCCCCAGACAAGGGAGGTCATGAAGAATTGTTCTAGGATCTACTCAGAGATCATGACCTGCCAGTTTCAGGAATGGAATCTTTTGTCCCTCCTCCACTCTGCTCCATCTGTCTGTCTGCTGCCCAGGTGATGTCCTCTGTCTCTTTCCATCCTTTGTGAATGGATCTCCACTTTCATCACTCTGTTTTTCAATTATTCTCAGCCTTCAAAAGGGAAGCGAATAGTTGATCTTTGCTGCCTATTCTAAGAGGAACTTGAGGAAGGGAAAGTGAACACTTCTGCCACCTTGAAGATATCTACCACCGTGCCCCACCCTCCATGATGGACTATAGTATATCAAACTGGTTCCCACAATTATGTCGGAGGGTCACAACAAAAGAGAGATATTGGAACATTGGGTAAAAATTCTTTCATGGTGTATAAAGGACATCCCTTGAGACCTTGATGATACAATCGAGTGTCTTGAATCACTAATTTTCACTCCTTGTAAAATCTGAAGCTAAGAAGAGGCAGTATCTCAGATGTGGCCCTGCACAGAGATCAAACATCTTCCTAAAGGAAATGCACAGGATGCAGATTTTGGAGAAGTGAAGAATATTTCAGAAATCATTCTTCAGGTTCAGGCCTCTTTTTTATTTTTATTTAAAAGGTTTATATTTTTTTCATTTTACATACCAACCACAGTTGCCCCTCCCTCCTCTCCTTCTGCTACCCCATCTCCCCTTGCCCTGCCCCCCACCCACTACTCAGAGATGGTAAGGCATCCCATGGGGAGTCAACAAAGTCTGGCATATCAAGTTGATGCAGGACCCTCCCCCCCCACCAGCAAGGTTGAGCAAGGTATTCCTCCATAGGGAATGGGCTCCAAAAAGCCAGTTCATGCACTAGGGATAAATCCTGGTCCCACTACCAGAGGCCCTACAAACCTCCCAGGCCACACAGTTGACACCCACATTCAGAGGGCTTAGTTTGGTCCTATGCAGGTTCCCCAGCTGTCAGTCCAGAGTCTGAGATCTCTCACTAGCTCAGGTCAGCTGTCTCTGTGGGTTTCCCCATCATGATCTTGACACCTCCCTTGCTCATATAATCCCTCCTCTCTCTCTTCATCTGGACTCCAGGAGCTTGGCCCAGTGCTTAGCTATGAATCTCTGCATCTGCTTCCATCAGTTACTGGATGAAGGTTCTATGATGAGGATAAGGATAGTATTCAATCACTCAGGCCTCTTTCAATGATTGTGGAAGCATGTGCGAGAATGCTGTAAACTTTCTCTGACATACCAATGGGGCAGAATACAGAATGTTCTTCCCACAAGGTATTCTTGTGGAAAGAATTGCACAAACTATGAGAGGTGGATGCACTTGAAGCATAGACATGAAGGGAATGTCCTGATATGTCCCCATTATCCCCATGGAAAAGCTGAAGGCCACCCCCATCAGCTCCTCTGTTTCTCTTGAGAGAGAGAGAGAGAGAGAGAGAGAGAGAGAGAGAGAGAGAGAGAGAGAGAGCTGACATCCCAGGGATATCTACAGAACGTGGCCTAACAAGATACCATAAAACTGGGCACAAACCCTCATATCACGGCTGTGTGTGGCAACACGGTGAGAGGAAAAGGGTCCCAAGTGCAGGCAAAAGAGTCAGAGATACCCCCACTCCCACTGTTGGGAGTCCCACAAGAACACCAACCATACATATATGCAGAGGAGCTAGCTCAGAACCACACAGGGTCTGTGTTTGTTGCTTCAGTCTCTGGGAGCCCCTACAAGCCCTGCTTAGTCAATTCTGTGGGCTGTGTTCTCCTGATGTCCTCGACCCATCTGGCTTATACAATCCTCCCTTCCCCTCTTCTGTAGAGCTACTTTGGCTCTGCCCAGTGTTTGGCTGTGGGTCTCTGCATCTGCTCCCATCAGTTGCTGGATGATGCCCCTCTAATGACAATTGGGCTAAGCACCAATCTATGTGTATAGCAGAATATCATTAGGAATCATTGCATTGACTTTTTTTTTTTTTTTTTTTTTTTGCCAGTGGAGCTTTGGTCTATCTTGAGTCTCTGAGCTGTCCTCCCTCTGGAGGACATCTGGCCATCCAGGCAGTGCCAGGCATGGGCTCCCGCTCATGGTGTGGGCCTTAACTTGGACTAGTCTCTCTCACAAATTCTGTGTCACCATTGCCATAGCAGGTCTTGCAGGCAGACAGATTGTAGGTGGAAGGTTTGTGGCTGGATTGATGTCCCAGTCCCACAGATAGGAGCCTTGCCTGGTTATAGAGGATGGCCAGTTTGGGTTCCATATTCCCCATAACTAGGAGACTTCACAAAAGTCACTCTCATAGCTTCCAGGGAGTTTTCACTGCATTAGGTTTCCACAACACTCTCCAAATGCCTCCCCAGCTCCAGTCCTCTCTCCCAGTATTCTCTCCCTCTGTTTCCTCCCCTTCCCCACCACCCCATCCCTCCTCTTGCCATCCCCACCTACCCCCAGTTCACCCCCCAAAACTATTCTATTTCCCTTTCCCAGAGGGATCCATGCGCTCCGAGAAACATCCTTAGCCACTAGGGAAATGAAAATCAAAACTCCTATGAGACTCCATTTTGCACCTACCAGAGTTGCTGAGATCAAATAAACAAGTGGCAGCTGAGGATGTGGAGCAAGGGGAACACTCCTCCATTGCTGGTGGGAGAGCAGACTTGTACAGCCACTGTGAAAATCAATATGGAAGTTCCTCAGAAAACTGGAAACTGATCTACCACAAGACCCAGCTATACTGCTCTTGTGCATATAACCCAAAGACACCCTGTCCTACCACAAGGACTTGCTCAACTGTGTTCATAGCAGCTTTATTCGTAAGACAGAATCCGGGAACATTCTAGATGTCCCTCAACCAAGGAATGGGTAAAGAAAATGTGGTACATTTACACAGTGGAGTATTATTACTCAGTTGTTAACAACAATGACATCACAACAAATGGATGGAACTAGAAAAGATCATCCTGAGTGAGGTAACACAGGCCCAGGAAGACAAACATGGTATGTGATAATTCATGAGTGGACATTAGCTGTTAAGTAAAGGAAAATCATATTACAATCCACGGACCCAGAGAGGCTAAGTAAGAAGGCTCAAGTTTTATACAGACATGGTGGTGGGTGGGTTAACCGCCCAGGGGATTTGCCCAACGAATAACTAATTTCCTTCCTGGGAAATGAGTTCTGGGTGTCATGTGTCAGCACCATCCAAGCCTGCTGGTGTTCTGGCTCCTTCACAGGGCTTTCCCACGGCCTGGCAGCTGAGCACCATGAGTAAGTTTTCCTAGGAGCTTCACCAGTGCCACACGGTTTCTCATCTGTACTTGGACAACACGCCTAAACGTAAAAAGAATAGTTTCGATTCCACCTTTCCATACCTTTAGCGCTGGGACACAGGAGGGTGACAGGAGGCACAGGCTCTTTCCTCATGGCTGGCGTTACAGATCCTGCAGGACACTATGGAATACTCCTCTGTGACGCGAACCACCCACGCCCCTGTAGCGTCCCAGACATGGAAGCTGAACCTCCCAAGTGGAATCGTGGCCACAAGGTCCGCGTTCACATTTCAGTCCCGTGTCCACTTGGGAAAGTTCGGCCTACAGCTCTGCACCGGGCTGGTGAGGAGCAGAGGAGCGTTTAGTAGCGAGTGCCAGGCAATAGGGAGCATGAGATCTCTGCGTGACTGGGTTCCCGGTGGTCCCCGCCTTCTCGTTCCACAAGAAGGGCTTATGAGCGACAGGAATATGACTCAGCGAGAGCTGGCTGAGATCTCAGGACTCCGCGGTGGAAGGATACCGGCGGCAGGGAAGCCGCAACTCAAACTTTAGAGGCAAGATCCCTACCAGCGGAGGACCCTGCGGGGCCTCCAGTTCAGCTGCCCGGCAACAACAGCTCCTAAATAGTCACCTCAAAACCGAACAGTGACGGTAATGAAGATCAGAAACTTCTTAGTCAGATCCCTGTTGCGGTAGTACGCTTCTGTAGTTGCCTGCGTGATGTCGCTCCATTCGCTGATTGGCGTTCTATTGCCATCTAGTGACAAGTTTCTGGAATGCAGCGCAAAAAACCCTTTGGGCAGAGTGGTTTGTTCTCTTTGGAGTATAATATGTTACGTGTGTGGGAATGTGCCTTGGACCCCCAAGATCACATGATATAAAACATGTGTTTGGAAAGATAATCCACGGAATGGAAAAGGATACTTAAAAATTAAAGCTCATATAGGAGCTGGCGCAGTGGCCACCTTTTAATCTCAGTAGACCAATTTCTTTAAGTTGGAGGCCAGCCTCGTCTACATACCCAGTTAACAGTCCAGCCAGGCCTACATAGTGAGGCCCTATCTCAAAAATAAAACTCACATAAATTCATACCCAGAAAACAGCTAAAAAATAAATAAAAGAAGCAGCCTAATATAAAAGTAGACCAAGATTCAAGTAGGTATTTATACAATGAATATACACGAGTGATCAATAACCCGAGAAAAAACACACACAACCTACTGATCCCAAGGAAAGTAAAACTCTAAGGACTTCACACTCAACTAGAATGGTTATGACGAACAAGAAAAAATCAATTGAAAGGTGTGTCCTTGCTACTGGGATGTAACAATGCTCAGCGGCTGCTGAAGGCGATGTGGCAATTCCTCAGAAAAGTTAAGTGGAATTCTCATGTGACTCAGCAATTGCAACTGTGGACATGTGGCCAACACAACTGAAAATGGCAACTCAATAGATACTCAGGTATTCATGCCCATAATGGCATATAACAGCCCCAAGTGGAAGCAACCCAGTGTCCATCAATAGGATGGAAAAGTGAAATGTGGTCAATCTGTATGTGGAATGTTACTCAGCCATAAGAAGGAAAGACATTCTGGTTTTGCTTTCACATGATAAATGTTGAAGATACTATGCTGGACAAAATAAGCTGGACATGTTTATAATCACATTTATTTTCCATTTTTATTAGTTCTGTGAGAATTCTATACAATGTATTTTGATCATATTCATCCCCTCCTCCAATTCTTCCCAGATCCAAGCCCCATCTGTACCCACCCAACCTGTGTCCTCTTTATAATAAATCAATTCCACTTTGTCTTGCTCCTGTGTTCTTGGATACATGGCATTCAAATAGAACATGGTCCCTGAGTGGGAATGTAAGCCATTTGGATGAAGAGATGCAGGTCCCCAGTGCTCAGAGTGTGTTTGCAAAGACCCCAGATGCTGAGGTGGCCAGTGGATGTCTGAGTCCTTAAAAGTCCCTTCATCTGCAGAACCTATGGCTGACCTAAGATTTTTTTTTTTCCGGTTTTTCGAGACAGAATTTCTCTGTGTAGCTTTGCGC